GTGTGCTCACCCGGGGTGGGGGATGGTGCGTGTCTCTTCCATGCAGAGGTACCAGCCCGTGCAAAGGCCCTGAGGCCAGAGGGAATGGAGCAAGTTTGAGGATCCGGAGCATGGCCCAGAGAGTGATGGAGGGGAGGGGGGAGGAAATGGGATGATGAGTCAGCACAGCCCATGGGCCTGGAGTAGGCTGGGGCTAGTTCTTTATCCGGAGAGCAAAGGGGAGCTTTGGAGGGGTTTAGTCAGGAAGCTGAGGGTAAATAGGAGATGTTCCAATCTGCACTGTAAGAAGGTCGTCTCCGTGGCTCAGCCTTCTCATCTGTAAAGTGAGTTAGTCAGAGCGTCGTCCACACAGGGTGAGGATTAAATGGGCCCATGTGAGTCTGGAGCATCCCCGGCCCAGGCCCAGGCCCTCTACCATCGCCAGCCCTTCCCCGGCAACAAAATATGAAAAGTTAGATTCAATGACTTTGTTGGCATAAAGACAAATATATTAACGTTATATATTAAAATATTTGCTTCAATAAAAGTTCATTTTTTTCTCCTGATTTTAAAAGAAATTACATTTTCATGGACCTAAAAGTATTATGGCCCCGAAGCTCATGCCTACTGTGCCCTGCCTGGGCCTCAAAATGGGGGCTGTTTTTCTAATGAGGTCTGCCCGGCAGGGGCGGGGGGGGGCGGGTGACCAGAAGAGGGAGAGGGGTCTGCGTGTGTCTGCCCTCTCCCTCCCCCTCCTCCCCATTCGTCATCCAGTCCCATGTCCACCCCGCCTGGTTCCACAGCATTCTGTCCCCTTTGATTCTCCTCCCGCCTGTGGAGAGTCAGGCAGAGCCAACCTTGACCTTGCCCAGCATGACCCCCCGTGGCTCCTCAGACTCAGGGGGGCCCGAGTGGCACCCCCTCCCTGCATGCCTTTCCTTCTTGTCTCTGAAGGTGTGTGTGCAGCCACCTGTCTCCAGCCTCAGGCACGTGCCACCTCCTCCGTGAAGCCCTCCGAGTCTCCAGGATGCACCAGCTCTCGTACCTCCCTCACCGTGGCCTTCACACGCTCCCTCCCTGTCCTCCCAGGCTGGGAGCCCCGGAGGCCCAGGGACTGTCTTGTTCATCTTTGTATGCTTGGCGGCACCTGGCATTCGGTTAGCACCCAATTAAAATGTTTCCTGTGAAGAAGGGCCGGCCAGGCCCGCCTTTGCCCTGGCCTCCTCTGACCTGTGGTGCAGGGACAGAAACTGGGGAGCCAGTCCACCCTGCCCACGGGGACAGCAAGTGCTGGGGGGCAGGGGCTGGGTCCCCAGGAGGTGCCCGGCCTGCGGAGGTGTGGGGCGGGCACTGCGTGAGCAGCAGTGTGGGGGCAGGGCAGGGCGTGTGGAGATGGGGGTGAGGCCCCCAGGTGGCCCCGACGGGCCGTCTGTCCTCCGTCAGGGGACAGAGGATTTGGCAGTGACTGGCTTCGGGGGGTGCGGACTGCATTTCCACCCCAAGGTCACAGGCCCAGCACGGAGGCCGGAGCCAGTTAATCACGGCCAGCGGAGCCTGGCGCAGGCACGTGGGGGGCGCGTCACGGCTGGACCACCTGCAGTCAGGGCTGACAAGCGGACTCAGATGGCAGGCTGCGGACCAGCCACCCCACAGCCCCCAAGGAACCCACGCCCCCCAAAGCCAGAACAAGCCTCCCACCCTCCCCCACGCCCCCAGGGCGAGGCCTGGGCCCAGCCCCTCACACCTCAGGAGCTCCAAGACCCCTGCTTTGCTGGGGCAGGTTTGGGTCTCTTGGGTGGGGCTGGGTCACCAGCCCCCGCTGGGACTCAAGGTCCAGTGCTCGTCCCACATCACAGCCGCTCACCCCTTGCCACGCGTCAGCAAGAAGGCATTAAGGACCCCTTCAGACAGAGGGAGCGTGCTGGGGTTAAGAAAATGGGTGCTGACAACCAGCCTCCTGCTTCAAGCCCCTTCCCCCACTCCCCAGGCACTCCGTGAACCTCAGTTTCCTCATCTGAAAAATGGGCTAATGACCAGTCGTGATTTAGGGCCTCCAACCAAACTGAGGGGAGCATGGGGGCAGCAGCAGGGGAGGAGCCGGAGACGCCAGGCCAGCGTCCGGGGTGGGTGAGGTGGGAGGGGCCAGCCCTGGTCTGGAGCAGGGAGGCCTGGGACCACCCTGCTTCCGTGGGAGGATGGGTGGTGCATCGAGGGACTGCCCATTGGTATCTTTGGTGCTCCCCTTTTTCTGTGTCCTCCCCAAGCCCCCAGGCCATTCCCTGGAGCAGCCTGGCTCAGCTGGAGGGCCTTGGGCAGCCTGGCGTCCAGGACCCCGGGGAGAAGGCCAGACGGGCCCGGAGGAAAGAGGAGCAGAGGAACTGGGTCCAGACCACTGGGCCGCCTCCTGTCCCCCTGAGCCCCGCCCATGGGACTGCGGCGGCGTGATGGGCTGGGGGAAGGGGACTCTGCAGGACCAGCCTCCTAGGATGCCCGCTGAGCTCGGGGACGGGCAGTGACCAGGTCCTCTGTGCAGCCCAAGTCTGAGCCCCCAGTGCCGGCCTCACCTGCCCTTCCCCACCTGTGACAGTAGCACCACCTGGCCCGCCCTTCCCCCAGCTCGGCCTGATGAGTCCCTCCTCCGCCCAGGCCCACCTCCCTCCTCAGCCCCTGGATGTTCCTGGCCTGGTTCATCGGAGCCGTCCACCCCAGTCCCCTCACCTGGGCAGGGCCACACCTGCTGGGGTTTGGGGGGTGCCAGGCAGGTGGCAGGTTGGCATCTCCTTCCAGCGGGGCCTGCAGAACGGCAGGTCCCGCCCCTCCCCTGCCGCCCCTTCGAGGCTCGCTGCCAACCCATTTGGCGCTGAGCCCTCTGTGAGTGGAGCCAGCTCGTTTGCGGCCGGTGTTAATTAAGAGAGGTGATGGGGGGAGGTGGGGAAGGGCCGTGGAGGGCAGCTCCGACAGCCGCCAGGACTGCCCTGAGGGCCGAGGGGGCCGGGAGCTGGCCTGGGGCCTCCCCTGCTGGCTCTGGGGCAGGACTGTCCAGATGTCCAGCCCCCATCTCCGCAGCCAGACCTGCTGGGGGGTGGGGGGGGGCGGGGCGGGTCAAGACATATCTGAAGGGCCTACTGTGTGCTCTGCACCGGGTATGGAGGAGGCAGGCCCCACTCTGGCTGGGGGAGAGCCTCCGTGACAGTCCCTTGGGCAGTCTGCCTTGAGGTCGGCCTGCTTTGTGGCTTGGCTTTGGAGTCAGACAGACCCACTTCCCATCCTGCTACTGCCGCTGCGCGACTCAGCCTCTGAGCCTCGGTTTCCTCATCTGTCAAATGGGAGCGATAGCCCTGCCCTTGTGGCTTCGTTGTGATGGTAAATGGGATCATTTGTGCAAAACACTCAGCCTGTGCCTGGCAAATAGTCCTCGTTCTGTCATTGGAAACGTGCGTTCCTGGGGCAGAGGCCACATCCAGAGCCTCTGGGGGCCCAGCCCCCCAGCAGCCTGCCGCCTCTGCCTGGGTGTCCGGCCCTGGTCCATCTCCTGCTCTAGCCGGGCTCTGGCCCCGCTGCCTCCCCGCCTGCTCAGCCTGCCTTCCTCCCGCGGCCCCGCGGCCCCGCGGCCCCGCAGCCCTGCTCTGGGAGCGCCCAGCCGCTCCTCGCCTCTCCATCTTAATTAGCTGCTTGTATTAATCTCGCAAGTAACGTGGCAACTTGCAGCCCTGGGTTTTTGGGCTATGGAATTAATTATTCCCCAAGCGAAGAGCTGTCAGCTCCGGGAGACCAGCCACTCGGAGCCGCCCGACACCACTTAGCAGCGGCCACGGCTTCCGCACAGCACCCCGGCCTGCAGCCCAGCCGCCGGAAACGGCCCCCGCTCCTGGCCCGGGCTCTGCTCCGTGCGCCCTCACCCAGAGGGGCTGCAAGGGGCCCGGGGAATAGGGTGGGTGCCAGAGCCGGGACTCTGGGGCCAGAGGGGCTGAGGCACAGCTGGTCTCCCCCCGCACCGGGCAGCACCTGCCCCGCCCTGCCCAGCCGTTAACACGGATGCAGATGGGTGCCCACGAGCTGGAGCCCAGGCCGGGGCAGGCGCACGGACCGGCATGGCCCCGACATTCCAGCCCAGAGGCTGCCAGCTTCACTTTGCCCTCCTGTCAGCCCCGGGGGAGGCGGGAGGGCAGCTGGCCGGGCAGAGCGAGATGGACAGGGCAGCCATGGAGGCCGCGGTACAGCTCCCGTCTAGAGAGGGGCCAGGGGTTGGAGCTGAAGGTCCCTCTCCCCCTTGACCTTCACCCCATGTGAGGTGCCCTATGCTCCCTGTTTTACATACAGGGAAACTGAGGCACAGAGCACGGTGGCTCCAGTCACCAGCTATGGACCTGGCTTTGGCTCCCGTCCCCATGCTCCGGGCCCTCCCTGCCCTGCCCCGGGATGGGGCCCTGACATCCATCGCTCACAGTCAGTGTCACCCATGAGGCCCCCCGGCCCGGGTTCACGGCCTCGTGTTCCCCGCACACACTCGTCCCCGGGCAGCGCTCACACGGCTGCAGTGATTCAGTCTGTTTCCTAGTGGCTTCTGGTCCCTGTCCCTCCACAGCCCGCGAGCCCCGAGGGCAGGGACCGGGGCTGCCCTGTCTGCCCCACATCTCTGCCCCAGGCCTGGCACAGGAGACACTGTGGGGTGAAAGAAAGAAAGAAAGAAAGAATGAATGAATGAATGAAAGGAATCACATGGCCGCCGGCCATCTACCCCACATGCAGCTGCTTCTGGGCTGAGCGGGCGGGACCCTGGTGGCTCCCCTGCCCCCCAGCCCGTCACCCTCCAAACCCCAGGCCCATTAGGAGCCTCGGCAGTCCCAGCTCCTCCTTGTCCGCCCCGCCTCAGAGGAGACCCTGTGCCCAGAGTCTGAAGACCCAGGGGCCTGGGCCCTGCTTGGGCCCAGCTGACAGCCCCCCATCTCCCCCTCCATGCAGCCGTCTGCCCCCAGCCACTCCCCACCCGACTGACCCGCCTTTGTCTCTCTCTCTTGCAGCCAACAGCTCCCTGCTCGGAGGCGGTGGCGGTGAGTGGACCCTTCCTGTGGTCTGGGGGCGTGGTGGGGGGACGCGGGGTGGGAGTGAAGAGGGGGAGGCGCGGTTGGGGGGTTGATGACACTTGCCCTCTCCTTCCACGTCTGCTTCTCTCCTCCTGGTCCCCTCACCCACTGTACCCAGCTCTCTGTCTTCCCCGCAGCCTCCCTGTCATCCCCACAGTGCCCCCCCCCATTTCTCCATCTCTGCTCTTCTGCCTCCCCCCTCCCCCGGCCTTGCCCGGCCCGCCATCGCTGTAGAAAAGCTAGACACCTGGATGGCAGCCTGGCTCCCACCCAGCTGGGTGACTGGGCAGGTCCCCAGCCTCTGAGCAGAGGCCTGCTGGTCTGGAATTGGGGGTGGGGGGACACGGGAGGTTTAAAAGGGGCCGAGCCTGGGACAGGGGGCCGCAGGTGTGATGGGAAAAGCCCAGCTCTGCCCCTACCGCCCCCATGCCCTGGGCAAGCCCTGTGTCCCTTTGGCCTCAGTTTCTCCACCTGTGAGGACAAAGTTATCATCTCCGCTCTGCCCTGAAACCTCGCAGGGCGGCTCCACAGCCGGGACGAGGTCTCTTGAAGTCAGGGAGGGCTCTGCCCACTGTTAAGCCCCCGAGAATATTGCTGTGCTCGCTATTGTTAACGACCACCACGAAGCAGGGCCAGGTGGGCTGGAGGTCGGAGGTCAGGGTGGGCCCCGCGGCCAGGCCAAGGTCAGCGGGTGCCGAGGGGGGGCAGTCCCTGTGCCCCCAGTGCCTGCCCAGGCCCGGCCACACCAGCCCCTCGCCCCAGCCCCTCGGTCCCCAGCCGGCCGGGCTGCCCGCTGTCTACACAGGCGGCAGGATGATTGGTGAGCCAGGGGCCAGGGGTTAATGCGCCGTCGGATAAATCCCGGGGGCCGTGTTTACGGCAGCGGTGGCGGGGCCCAGGCCAGGTTTTAAAAGGGGGAAAAATAAAAGGGGCAGCGAAGGTCAGGAATAAATAAGAGCGGCGTTAAGAGCTGTCGGTGAGCGGCCAGGATGCAGGATGGGGGCTCTGTTTGTGCCTCAAGATGTCTTCCCTCCCTCCCTTCCCCTTCTCCTCCAGCTCCCCTGTGGAGGTCACAGCCGCCTTGGAGGCCTCGCAGAACCAGGGGCTTCGCTGGGGGCTGGGGCCCACCTAGGACCCTCACTCGGGGGCCCGAGGTGATCTGACTCCTGTCACACTGTGCCCACGGCCACCCCTCTCCTTCACATTCATCATTCATCACGCAATGATTGAGCGCCTACTGTGTGCGGGCCCCTGAGCTGGGAGCTGCGACACATCTGCCGGGCACCAGAGGGGCCTGGTCCCTGCCCTCCCAGAGCTCACAGTCCAGAGGGGAGCACCCACCGTGACACAGGGTGGTCTGTGTGATGTGGGGGGCTCGCAGGCCCAGTGGGAGCTCAGCAAGGAGCACCTGTCCAGGCTTGGGCATCAGGAAGGCTCTGGAAGGAGGTGGTGCCTCCACTGGGACTCAAGGGGTGGGTAGGAGAGAGGGTGAAGAGCGGCGGGAAGGGCTTCCTGGGCAGAGGGAACAGCACAGGCGAGGGCCTGAAGTGAGGGAGAGCGTGGGGCATTCGGGGAGGCTCAGAAGATCAGAGTGGTCGGAGCCCAGCCAGGAGGGGAGGTGGGGGGTGACGCAGGAGCCTCAGAGACCACAAGAGGAGCTGGATTCTTAGCCATTCAGTTCCAGAAGACAAAGGATCCCACAAAGGTGTGGGCCTTCTAAATCCTAAGTCAGGTCATCATCCTTCTGCTCAAAACTCTGCCAGAGCTCTCACCTCACTGGGAGCCATGGCCGAGGTCCTTGCCGTGGTCCACAAGGCCCCAGCCACCCATCAGACTCACTGCCACACTGCCCGCCCCTCCCCACTCTGCACCAGCCATGCCAGCCTCCCTACAGTTCCTGGAACAGGCCTGCCCACTCCTGCCTCAGGGCCTTTGCACTGGCTGTTCCCTCTGCCTGGAATGCTCTTCCTCAGACATCCATGTGGCTGCACCCTTCACGCCTTACAAGTCTTTACCTATGTGCCAGCTTCTCAGTGAGGCCCACACTGACCCCTAACTGAAATTGCGTCCACCTGCCGCTAGCCCACCCTGCACCTCAGGCCCCTCTCACTGTTCTAGTTTTTCTCTTTCTCAGAGCACCTCTCTCCCGATGAGCCATATAATTTACTTTTTTGTGTGTGTGTGAGGAAAATAAGCCCTGAGCTGACATCCATGCCAATCCTCCTCTTTTTACTGAGGAAGACCGGCCCTGAGCTAATATCTGTGCCCATCTTCCTCCTCTTTATGTGGAATGCTGCCTCAGCATGGCCTGACAAGCGGTGCATTGGTGAGCGCCTGGGATCCAAACCCGGGCCGCCAGCAGCGGAGCACGTGCGCTTAACCGCTATGCCACGGGGCCCACCCTATAATTTACTTCTTTACTATATTCGTTGTCTGTTGTCTGTCCCGCTGAGAATGAAGGCTCCAGAGGGCACGCATGTATCTCCAGCACATTAGGTGCTGGATAGATGGTTGTTGAATGAATAAGTGAACTACAGGTAGGCAGGGATGGCCTGACACGTTAAGCTGACGAGGGCAGTGGGAGCTACCGAGGTTTTAGCCAGGGTGGGGAGTGGCTCAGAGACGACCTGGTGACTTCACTCTGGGAAGTCAGAGGGTGCCTGCTCTGGCCAGACTGAGGGGAGGCCCCGTGGGGGTCCCTCTAGCCCCCCTTCCTGCAACACCGGGGGTGAGAGGAGGCTGGAGCGGGCCTGACTGATGCAGAGATGGATGGGAGGCCGGGCCCGGGAGGAAGTGGGCCCGGAGTCCAGCCTTTTAACGCCGGCCGAGATTTATGGAGCCGCTGCGAGTGCTCGCTGGGGCTGTCACTCCGCTAATGTGATTGGAACAAGGTGGAGGTGGCGGGGAGGGACCGCCGTGGGCGCGAGGCTGGGGCTGGTGAGGGCCTGGCGCCCGCCTGGGGCTGGAATGGAGGGGGCCCCAGACCAGGGACATCCTCTGCCCTCACGGCTGCTAGCTGCGCTCTCCACTGCCCCTCTGTTCCTCCAGCCTTAACCCCCCCACCTGCCAAGGCGGGGGACACAGCAGGAGCAGCCTGGGACTGGGGGGCCTGGGTCCCCGCCTGACTCTGCCCAGACACCCCTGAGGTTCCTCCCTCTTCTCCTCAGTCCAACCCTCAGGGGTTCAGGCCTCCATGCCCACCTCCCATCACCACCCACCCACCTACCCACCCATCTCCCCACCCCGCCCCCCATCCATGCCTCTAACAAGCACAGGCCCATTCGGCTGCCCCAGCCACTCTGTTTAAAACTGCCCCAGCCATGCAACAGGATGCAGTCTATACAGAAGCCGAAACACACCGACGCACACTCGGAATTTACAAAGTGTTATAAACCAGTATGACCTCAAGAAAATAAGAATAACACAGTAAAATAAGGCTGCCCCAGCCGGCCCTCTCCCCTGCTCGGGGGCTTTCTCCGGAGCCCGGATCCCCTTTCAACATGCTAGTGTTCTCTGTTGTCCCTAGTGCCTGTCTCCCCACCAGAACGTACTCTCCCCAGGAGCAGGGTTCGAGGGGATTCGAGCCGCTGGAACAGCCCCTATGGGGCAGTTAGTCGCACCCTCTGTGTGCTGGGCTCTGCCCTTGGAGCTGGGGACACGAGTCTAACAGCCCTGCAACGGGGGTCCCTTCCAGTCCCGTGACAGGGGTATAAACATCGGGGGGCAGGGCCTGGCCTGCAGGACTTCGGGGCAGTAAGCCCACAGTTTACTGTGAGTGTGTGGTGGTTCGGGTGGGAGGGGACCACGGCCCCTAGGGAGCGGGGAAGGGAGTCTGCTGGGCCCCCTCAACCTCAGAGAGAGCCCCAAGGGCTCCTGGGGCCAAAAGGACTTAACCCAAAGGGTCTGGGGCTCCTGGGCCTGCCTCATACAGGGGTTGGGCCCCCCACCAGGCCCTGAGGCCAAGCTAGGCAGTTCTGGCAACACAGTGAGTCTCAGGAAAGCCCCCTACTCCCCATTCCTTCTCAGGCTTCTTTCTTTTTTTTTTTTTTTGTGAGATCAGCCCTGTGCTAAAATCTGCCAATCCTCCTCTTTTTTGGCTGAGGGAGACTGGCCCTGGGCTAACATCCATGCCCATCTTCCTCCACTTTATATGGGACGCCGCCACACATGGCTTGCCAAGCAGTGCGTCGGTGCACGCCCGGGATCCGAACCGGCAAACCCAGGGCCGTGGCAGCAGAGCGCGCACACTTAACCACTTGTGCCACTGGGCTGGCCGCTCAGGCTTCTTTCTGAGTGTGTGTTTGCAGGGGGCCACCTGTGTCAAACACTGGGACTCACAATTTGGCTCTGCCCTCAAAGAGACCCATTTTAATAGAAGGCTTCCCAGCAGAGGGAGCATTTGACTTGGGCCCAGAAGGCTGAATAGGAGTTCCCCACGTACAGAGGGATCGAGAGGCCCACCAGGTTGAGGGCTTAGCATCTGTGGTGGGGAGACCTGATGGGACTGAGGCAGCCACCCAGCCTCCTGGCCAGACCCTCAGGCCTGGAGACCGCCAGGCCCACTCCGGCTCTCCCGCCTACCTCCTGGAGAGCCTTTTACTGGCTCGATAAAATTTTTTACAAAAAGAAACGCTCTCCCATTGTATGGTAAGAAGGGAGGCGGGCCCTAAATCAGGATGGGAATCGACAGGGCCCTGACGCGTGTCTCTCCTGTTTATTAGGACTGAAATGTTTACTCGGCGATAAGCAGCCGGCTTTCTTGTGGAGATTTGTGCGCTCTTTTTCAATTACCCCTCGTCTTTCTCTGCCACTTTTGCACTAAAGGGATAATAAATGTATTGGAGCGTTTCAATTATTCATCTAAATCATGACTGCGCCTGCCACGGCCCAGCTTTAGTGACAGATTAATTCAGGGCCGCCTTCCTCTGCTGGCGTGGCCGCCATCTCTGCTCCTGCCTGGCCAGCGC